CTTCTTTGCATGCAGATGGTCTCTGGCATCTCAGTTAAAATGTGCAAGACCTCAGCCAGAGACTCTGCATAGACAGCACTGACCTCGATGGACTGAAGGTCTGATTCAGTAGAAGGCAGCTTCGTGTGTGTTTATGTGTATACCTAGCAAAGACTGCCTGTTGCCACTACGAAACAGAGATTTCAGGAAATATTTCTCCTGATTGTTACGCCATCTTTTTACTGCTTGCATATCCCAAACCTACCTCTCCGCCTTCTGCCTTCTCTCTCACCTTAATGCTACCTCCTCTTCTTTGCCCGAATCAATACTTATCTTCTGGAATCCTTTGTTATGCCCCACTATCCTAAAGGGGGGGGACCGGCTCATTTTCTTGAGCAATCCAAATTGTTTCACCGGACCTTTCTCAACACACCCTTGGTGTCAGTGGCACTGAGGGATGTGAGGACCCCTGAGCCTTTGGCAACCAAACGGGCAGAAATTCACCAGGCAAGACCAACCCTACTGAATCTTTTTGTGCCATGAAGCTGAAAGGGAATCCTAGCTGAAAGGGAATCCTCTCCTGCTGCGTTAGACCTATAAGGCAGATCAGGAAGGCTTCTCATTTGGTCGAGATCAATGTTCCCTCTCAGCTGAGTTAGTGTGAGTTAGCTCACCATTTTTTAGCCTCTGGCTCACACATTTTTATCTTCGCTCAGGAAGGATGGCTCCAGAGCAAACTGATTTATGCGGTAGCCAAATCGCTCGCTCACAACTTTAATGCCAGGAGCTCACAAAGTAGAATTTTTGCTCAAAAGACGCCACAGCTTAGAGGGAGCATTGGTCGAGATCTCTACGCAAAGACTTGTCTTTTAGAATTTGGCAACTGATTTGCATCTTTTATTTTGGCTGCTATCCTAAGCACACATGCCTAGACGCAAACCCTACCAAAACCAATACACTCCATTTCCAGGTGAACACAAAACTTTAGAATCAGTGTTAACATGTAACAAATGCTTAAAGAGGAGACAGGTGCCCCCTCCTCAGTCTATTTTGACCTCTTTGCCCTTCCCTCCACAATTTCTGAGGCTGATACTGAGCAGAAGAAATCGGGAGTGAAAAGCTTGGCTGTACACACAGACCTGCCGCCTGCTTGCTTCTTTGTACTGGGACCGTATGGACGGTGTGAGGTGCTTGCTTATAGGGGAAACAGTTTTACCTTTAAACACTCTCTGGATACATAAACTTGGTAGTTTTCTGCTGCCACTAGGAATTAAAAATCCCAAATCTCTCTCTTTTGGTAGTATGACCCAGGGTCTGGGCACTTCAGCGGACTATGTGGCCCTGAGGAAGTACTGTACTGATTTCTGGGATAAGTTTAAACAAAAATTGATTTATTTGAAAAAGAACAAAATAAGTTTCTGGTTATTTTGAACAGTTGCTGAAGAAAGGAACGTAAACATAACTGGCAAAGCTTGGTGTTACAGTCTCTCAACCTCTTAAACTCCACTCTGACAGGCTTATACACTCAGTATACTCTCTCTCTCTCATATAGCCACACAGGCTAGTCTCTTTGTTTTATTCACACTGAATAGAATCAACTCTCTTAGTCACACTAACTAAACTGTTGGTCTTATTCATACAGAATTAAACTCAAAATTCCACAGTCACACAGACTATGCTCTCTCTTCAGACTTCACACAGAGAATCTCTTCAAAACTCTTCCATATTTGTCTCTCCTCATAGACACACACACAGAGAATCCTCTCAGACACCCTGCCTCCCACACTCTCTGTCAGCAGCCAATCACAATACACGCATCTCCCTCTATCACTCTTCTTTCAGTACTGCAGTCAAACTAAACATTTAAAGGAACACACACACCAAAACATGAAATCATTACAGACGGGATTCCACTCTTCCTCACACTGAGGGTCCCATTTAGCAGTTAATTCTGTCCCACAGCTTCCCCGATCCTTTTACTTCTTTATTCATAACCTCCTTAGCAACGTTCTGAAACAACTACCATTCTTAAAAACAAGAGCAGGAAGTATTACAGGATGACCTCTCCACCCCCTCTGCTATAGACTATGAGAAGAGAGCTCCTGGCTGAACTAGCGGCCTCCTAGCCTCCTGCCTAGAGCAAACCTGGGCCCATTGAAGGAAACGGAGAGGTACACACAGAGGGCAGCCAGCTGCCCACAAGCAAAGGTCGCTGTTGCTAAATGCTCAGTTCTGGGTGAATGGCCTTGGGCTGGGAACCAATGCTCCCTCTAAGCTGTGGAGTCTTGTGAGCAAAAATTCTACTTTGTGAATTACTGGCACTAAAGTTGTGCGTGAGCAATTTGGCTACGGCGTAAATTAGTTTGCTCTGAAACCATCCTTTCTGAGCTAAGACAAAAATGTGAGCCAGAGGCTAAAAAACTGTGAGCTAGCTCACACTCACTCAGCTTAGAGGGAACACTGCTGGGAACTGCCTGCAAGCCCAGGAGCTTGAAAAGAATCGGAGAGGCAAGGCAACTCACTGGGGTTGGATCAAGACGGGTAGCTGTGTTAGTCTGTCTGTAGCAGCACAAAAGGGCAAGAGTCCAGGAGCACCTTCAAGACTAGCGAAATATGTGGCAGGAGATGAGATTTCCTGAGTCACCGCTCACTTCTTCAGATACCTGAGCAGTGACTCACGAAAGCTCCTCCCCTGCCACATATTTTGTTAGCATCTAAGGTGCTACTGGACTCTGGCTCTTTTCTACTACCGGGGTTGGGTCCCTTGGCATGGCAATGGGGAGTGCCAGGCGAAATCCAGAAACAAAGTGTGTTGTGTGTGTCTAGGGCACTGTCTCTCAAAAATAACGCTGCAGCTGCCATTTCTATGGGGGAATGTACATAATTTTTTTTTAATGCACTAACTTGACAATCCCAATAAATCCTCTGATCTTGGGAGCAGTGTACTCTGAAGCAACATAAATTTGTACAGATCCGGTTCTACCCTACTCACCCCGCCCCCGGAATTAGCCTTTTAGGGACCAGGACCAGTGTTCCCTCTAAGCTGAGTCAGTGTGAGCCAGCTCACTGTTTTTTAGCCTCTGGCTCACACATTTTTGTCTCAGCTCAGGAAGGAGGGCTCCGGAGCAAACTAATTTATGCAGCAGCCAAATCGCTTGCTCGCAACTTTAATGCCAGGAACTCACAAGGTAGAAATTTTGCTCACAGGACTCCACAGCCTAGAGGGAGCATTGACCAGGACCCCTCTGGAATAAAGGAGGCTTCCAGACTCTCATTCCTCATTTACTCATGCAGTACCCAAGAGGATCTTAGGGGTCCTTAGGATTTTCCGGAGCAGCACCAAGGGGCAGATTAACAACCAACTTTGACTGAGAGAAACATCCATACCTGCATCTCTCTTCTCATTGGATATGTCCAGTCCTGAAAAAGAAAAAGAAACCGTTTACACACAATAAAGAACAAGTTAGCCAACAATCACATTCTTGAGCAAGCGGGAAGGCAGGGGGCTGGAGAGAAGACAGTCACAATTATTGATACTGCATCGTTAAAGCCAGTTTGGTGTAGTGGTTAAGTGTGCGGAGTCTAATCTGGGAGAACTGGGTTTGATTCCACACTCCTCCAATTCCACCTGCTGATATGATCTTGGGTCAGTCACAAGCTCTGGCACAGCTGTCCTTGAAAAAGAGCCGTTTGTGTCAGAGCTCTCTCAGCCCCACCCACCTCACAGAGTGTCTGTTGTGGGGAGGGGAAGGGAAAGGAGTTTGTAAGCCGCTCTGAGACTCCTTTGGGTAGTGAAGGGCGGGGTATAAATCCAATCTCCTCCTCCTCCTCTCCTCCTCCTCTAAAGTGCATCACACTCCCTATATCTGATGGAATTCAATGGGCCCTCTCTGGCTTGGTTAAAGAGTCTGCCCAGGAGCAGGTTGACTGCTGGAGAGGTTAATGCAGCTGGAGACGTTAATACAGCTCTGGTGCTTCTGCTGTTCCCCAGAATGGGCGCAATTAAACTGTTTAGGAGGGAATAAAGTTGCAGCAAAATGGAACTTTGTATAAAAGTGATAGGGTGACAGTTAAACAGTATTATTCAAGAGGGCATTTTTATAAAGTGAACAGGATTCTAATTTTAGTGCCTGAGACTTTTCTGCAGTCTTTATTCTTGCACTGTGTAATGCCTTTTGTACTGCATTGCCTTCGTGTTCTGTAATCCAGTTTACATCTCAATGAGAAAGGCGAATAAATAAATAAATGGCGCTTAGAGAAGACGTTCAGGATGCAGACTCAAGATTCTTTCAACGGATTTCAGCAAACATGAGTCACCTTAGATTATTTCCCATGGGGTATGTTCCTTGCCTTTCTTTTGGCTATGGGCATTAGAAGAGTCCTGCATCGCAAGGACTAAGAGAGTGAGTCCACAAAAGGCTGGAGTTTCATAGTCTTTAAAGTGTCACAAGGTTATTTTGTAGCCCTTTGTCATGTGTACCGCTTGCATTTTATTACCTTTGGATCTCCCTGTTCACAGTTTTTTTCTCCCAGCCCACAACTGCCACCAACTATGCTAAGATGTGCACTTCCTCAATAGGGTCCAGTGTGAAATAGATCTAACCTTTCAAAGTGCCACACCTACCTAAAGGGACAAAACAAACCAAGAAGCAGCCCAGGAGTTCATTTCCCTTGATGCGTAAAACCGTGTATATTACTCATTGTGGTCACCATTGGCTGAACAGCGAATGAAGTTTTATCTCCCCGGCACAGCAAACAATAACTTCAATCGTTAAATGTCCATTGGGCTACCAAATTCCCACTAAAGAGTGATTCACTGACATGTGACAAATAAAACACGCCATTTTAAAATTTTCACTGGCAGCAAACTAATTATTTAACTGTCTATCTAGAGATCCTGATACTTTTTTTTTTAATTAAGCGGGGTTCAAGTTTCTCCTGGCAAAAAAAAGAGAGAGCACAGCTGCATCCAACCCATTTCCTTTTTTTTTTTTTTTTTACCCCCCCGGGGGGGGGGGGGTTTTTGGGGTTTTTTTTTCCCAGACTACAACACTACAACAGAAAATATGGGAAAGGGAACTACATCTAGGGGGAGAAAGAATAAAGATCCACAACTAACTAAAAACCCAAGAGTAGGAGATCAATACATCAGCTTAACATCATGCTATTTTCAAAAAGCTACTAATAATACAATGAACTTAGTTGGTTATGCTAAGATAATATCGTTTAACCATCCCCTTTAACTGTTTAAAGAAAATCCCAAAGCATCCCGAAGTTATTTCCCTATTTCTTCAGGCACAAATCAGAGTCCTTCAGCCCTTATTTATTCTTATCTTTTCTAATCCTCAGTTTATACGGGCTTTTGGGGGCAGCCGCCCCCTTTTCAGAGGGGGAGTCCTCGTCCGAAGACCCAGAGCCCAACTCGCCATCAGACTTGCTTTCTTCTTCTTCCCCTTTACCCTCCTCTGGCTCTCCAAGTTGTGTCCGCAGAAATTTGCGTGCTTTAAAAACAGAGTCAATCTTTTCTTTTTTATCGTTGAGCTCGAAAATGACGCATTCTGGGGTTAACCACCTGTAATTAATGCCATTTGTTTGTAAGAAAAGGATTAATTCTTTATAGTTCTTTCTCTTCTGTCTTATGTCAAATGGAATGTCTTTTAAGATCCTAATGTTGTCCCCAATTTTCAAGGGTGTTTCCGAAGTTGCTTTCAAAATAGCATCTCTCACATGTCTCTTCGAAAATCTGACCACTATCTCCCCAGGCAGATTATTTTTCTTGATGTACGACGATGAATAGGACATGTAGACCACATCCATCTCGCTGCAAAGGTATTCCGCTGTTAAATCTGTCATTGGGGCTAATGCTTCACTCCGCTGTTGCTTCAGATTCTCTCCTTTAATTTCCGGGACCCCTTGAAACTGTAGAACCAAATTTGCTTTATCCATTTGTAGTTGTAAAAGCTTTGACTCTTCCCATAGCTTCCAGCTTTTGCACCTTTTCCTTAACCTTTTTAGTAGTGACGTCCATTTCCTTCACTTTCTCTCCCATTTGCTCTGTTGCTTTCAAGGATTGAGTGAGCTGCATCTGCTGCTCTTCTAAACTCTGCCCAATTGTTGACAGCTGTTGTTTAATGCCAGTGATCTTGTCCAGCAGAGGGCGTAGGGAGTCAGCTAAAAGTTTTGCGAGCTCAGTGACCTCATCTGTTCAAGGACTGCCCCCTACTTTCGATTTCAACAGCTTCTCTTTCTCCGGTTTCTTCCTCGCCATCTTTTTGGATTTGTTTACTTTTCAAAGAATTTGCTAAAGTCTCTGATGTTCGCCCGAACGCTTTTCTGCGCTCTGGTAAGTTTCTCAAAACAGTTTTAAACGCTTATTTTTCCACTCCCCCCTCTTTCCTTCTGTATTCCGTCTATGCATTTGGGAGGGACCCCTTCCCTGCTCACTTTCCCGTCGCTCTTTTTAGAGGGGGCAGCTTCTTTTTATATCGTCATGCTCACTTCAACCCGACTCACAGTTCGTTGTTGGCCATTCGGCCTCACTTGTCATCATTTATTTCGCCTGATCTCCAACGCTTGTCCCGGTCAGCAGCACTCGTACCATGCGGTCACTCAGCGGCAGGAACTTCGGGGCGGAGGGGCGCCTCAATTCTCTGGCTTTCAGCCATCGAAGAAGTCGCTCCTCAAAAGCCCCCTGGCTGGGAGCCTTTTACCAAGGCTCGGGGGGGTCGCAACCCGTCAGACCCCCTCCCACACGCTCATCCAACCCATTTCCTACCCTTAAGAAAGACGAGGAGGAGGAGATTGGATTTATACCCTGCCTTTCACTCGGAGTCTCATGGGAGCAGCTTACAAACTTCTTTCCCTTCCTCCCCCCCCCACAACAGACACCCTGTGAGGTAGGTGGGGCTGAGAGAACTCTTTCGAGGACTGCTCATGGGAGAACAGCTCTGAGAGAACTGTGGCTTGCCCAAGGTCAGCCAGCAGCTGCAAGTGGAGGAGTGGGGCATTGAACCCGGTTCTCCCAGACTACTTAACCACTACACCAAAGTGGCTCTCAAGTCCTACCCCTGCCTTTGTGTCCTTTGAGCAACTGTGGGATCTATCTGGACGCTCTCACACAAGGAAGTAAGCTCTACAGCAAGTATCAGACAGACTTATTCCCTAGCAAAAAGTGATCAACAGCTAGCAGGCACGATCTTTATACTGGGCGTGAACAGGGCTTCAAGTGCCACCATCTATGCTGGACCGGGCATTTGGGGCTCAGACAGATCTGAGATATATTCTTCAGGCCCGGGCACAGCTCTTTGGTACTGAACAGCATTTGAAGCCCCCCTCTGCCATGCAGATTTCCTCAGCTGTAACTTCTGAATGGCACAGCAAGAAACTAACACACACATTTGCTTGCTCCTGTTATACAGTTTAAAATGAACTCTTAGAACTGGCTGAGTGATGCATCGGGATAAGCCATTTGAAATGTGTGCAACTCTTGCAACCCATGTGGTCACAAACCGGCAATTTACAAAGCATTTCAAACCACAGAACCTTAGCCAAAAACTTAAGCGTTACTGAAAACGAACAATCGTCACACTGTGTCAGCCCAGAAGTGTCTTGCAAATGACTATGTTTATGAGTGCCAACAAAAAGCACATACAGTTATCTAGTTGCTTCCAGATCCCAGACAGACTAGTATTGACTAGTCCAAAAGATTTACCTTAAAGGACTACTGATTGCAATGGAACATTTCCAAGTGTGCTCAAGATCACAGCCTTGAATCAGACCACCTGCCTGTTTAATAAATAGTCACCTGTGTTACTACACAAAACAAACATATTTATTTATATCTGAGAATTGTTCTTTAAAAGCTCATTTTGAAGTTTTTGACTGTGATTTTAATTTGTTCATTTTCACTCCCATATTTGTTCATAGCGTGGCAGTTTAGAAAGGCAGAGAAGTCGCAGGATACGTATGCATCATTTGCTATCAGGCTTATCTGAACTTCAGATACTGAGATTTTTACCTGTTTACAACTTGAAAGGCAGAAATACAAACTACATACCTGGCAACATGATATTCTACAAAACAAAAAGAATGCTTTCTCAGCTTTGCAAATATATAAGGAAATACTGAGGGTAAATGCACCATCTAGATCAATTAGTGGTTTCAACTTAAATATCAACATGGCTTTTACAGTCAGACATGGATCTGGAATATTATTGTTGGGACTAAAAATGGAAGAAGTAAATATAACAAAAAGGACACTAATGTGGTATATGATAACAACAGCAAGAATGCTATATGCTCAAAATTGGAAACAAGATAGAATCCCAGAAGTTGGAGAATTGATAAAGAAGTTATTTTTTATGCCAGAAATGGACAAAATGACAAGGAAACTTAAAAATCTGAAGGCAGAAGAATTTTTT